TATATATATATATATATATATATATATATATATATATATATATATATATATATATATATGTATGTGTGTATGTGTGTATGTGTGTGTGTATAAGTATATGTATATCAATATAAATATGTATATATATACACATTGTGTAGTGTGTAAACATATATACATAGTATATATATATGCACACACGCATGTATATATATATATATATATATATATATATATATATATATATATATATATATATATATATATATATATATATATATAGTATATATACATGCACACATGCATGTATATATATATATATATATATATATATATATATATATATATATATATATATATATATATATATATATATATATACATATATATATATATATATATATATATATATATATATATATATATATATATATATATATATATATATATATTTATGCATATATACATATCTATTCATATTCACATATATATACATATATACAGTACATACATATATGTACATATATATATATATATATATATATATATATATATATATATATATATATATATATATATATATATATATATATATATATATATATATATATATATGTCTATATGTATATATGTAGACCATTTTTCTTTTTCCTTCCTTGTTCCTTCTACAATGTGTTATATCCCTATTTTCCCTTTTCCGAATGATATTTGGTACAGAGAAGTCAGACCATCAGAATGGTTAATAACAAATATCAAAAATTTACAAAAATAAAATAACATTGGGGAAATGACTACGATAGACCTGGAGTGACTGGAAGCCTTGATTGCATGCAGGCATTAAGGTGAGGTAAGAAGGTCTTGAGCGACCACTTGGCATCCATGCAAGCACCAACATCAGGACTGCAAGCTCATTCTGATGAAAAAGAAAGAAAGAAAGAGAGAAAGAAAGAAAGAATGGAAAAAAAAAGAAAGAAAAAAAGCATATGTAAGTATATAATCAAACAAATTATGAAAAAAGGGCAAATAAAATTGCTTCAAATAATAAAAAAACAGATAAATAATGCTGCATATGACAAAGAAATGCATTTTGACACGTGACATTTTACATAATTCTAAAAATTTGACTGGGACAGGGAAACCTACTCCAAAGAAGCGCAAACATGGAAATGCCTGACAACATAAGCTTGTTCTTTCTTTGGGACACCTGACCATTTGTTTATTTTTCTGCCTTTATAGTACTAGTCTTCTGCTTTTGCTAGTTCCAGATCACTAAATATTGTAACTTACTTTGAAAAATAAACATGGTTGTCATCAAAATTACTCATGTGTCACCTTGTGCTGTACAGCTGGGATCATTTATAGGAAGCTGTATCCTGTGTTACAAATGACACTGCATCTATCATCTTGGTCAGAATACCACAAGAAATTCATAATCAAAGACATTGCAAATGAATCTTACACATCAGTTTGACTTACATTTTCTGGCACACATTACACTAAATTACTGCCATATTTTTGCATAATATAACAGGTTTCTTTTTCAAAACCCTGTAAATTCATAGTAGCCACAAATGATAACCAGGTTTTGCAAAAAAAATTGTGTTGAATAGTAATTATATAATTTTAGGGTTTATAAAACTTTCCATATGTCTACTCCACAGCTATGTCATCTATAACACTACTATAACTGGATGTACCATTAAATAAAAATAAAGAAGAGAAGAGTCTGAGCCTTTTATCTCATCTGTAATCTGAATTATCTTTTAATAAAAAAAAAAAACTTGCAACATGACTCCTAGAACTATGTGGAAGTTAAGATTTTTTTCAATGATAATATCTTTCACTCCTGCATGTGTTAAACCAACACTTTAAGTGCTGCTGATACTTCTCCAAAGTTGTCCTGCAACATATGGTAAATTCTCTATCATGAAAGAGAATGCAAAGCTGTTAAACTTGAACCAAAGCACTTCACACTTAAGGCATATCACTTTAACCAAGCTGTGAAGATGTTTTTTGGCAGAAGTACAACGACTAGCTCAGTGGTAAAGTTCAGAGCCTTGAGAAGAGGTCCAGAGCTTGTAAAAATGGAAAGGAATAATATAATAAGTTGTGATAATAACAATAATAATATAAACAATAATAATGATGATGAAGATACTGCTAATAATAGTAGTAATGAATAATAATAATAATAATAATAATAATAATAATAATAATAATAACAATTATAATAATGATGATAATGAATAACAATAACAATAATTATAATAATTATTACAATAATAAAACCAAATACAAAAACAATTATAATAACACAATAGAATAATTACCACATATAAAAACAACAACAACAATAAAATAGTAGTAGCAATAGTAGCAGCAGCAGTGGCAATATTAATAATAATAATAATAATAACAATAATAATAATAATAATAACAATAGTGATTACATAGTTTATAGTTTGCTTGCTAATTCAACTTTCTCAGGTCAGCAGAAGACGACTACTTGCAGAAACACCAGCACTTTTCCCCATGATCAGTTATCCTAAGGAGCCAGTGTGAAATTGTGCGTGTAATCGTATTCGATGGTGGGAATGATGGCCTGTACAAACTTCAGGAACACTATGAGGTACAGGTGGACCCCCAACTCGCCTCCGCCTTCAAGCACTGTTTCACATATCTTCTTCATGGTCTCGGCATGTCTAGGGATGAGAGACAGAGAAAAGGCTAGCATAAGAATGGAGTTATCAAAATTTAGAAAGGAAGAACTAAAAGAGAATGAAAATGGGAAAGGAAAGAGAGAATGAAAAGAAAGCAACCAATAAAAGAGACAAACTACAGAGTAAAAACATAAAGAAACGCAAATTCTAATTTTTGTTTATCTAAAATTTTGAATCAAAATATATTTGTGTTATTAAAACAAATATTATCTACCAGCATAATTTTACATATTCACTGATACTATATAATAGTAGCTAAATCTACATAAAGAAAAAGGCTTAAAAAAAAAAGAAAGAAAGAAAAATACTGACCTGCAGGGATGGACAGACGCCATGGGAGGACCTGGGAGATGAGGATGTGTTTCCATGGTGACTGTCTTGTTGGCATGATCCTGGCTAAAGTCCTCATACATTTCTTCAACTGTTAAAGGTTGTCGATTCTACCAACAAGAATAGAACGCTTTAAAATACTTGAAAAAACTATTACATTATCAACAACTAATGACATGCACACAAAATTTATATACATAAAAAAAAAAAGACTATAATTAACTATAGGACAGATTTGACCCAAAGTCAAGACAAATAAATAATCATATATTGATGAGGCCATCAGAAAAACAACTTCTTTAAACAAAAACTTCTTACTAACTGGTATAGTATGTCTAACAGTGCAAAGATCCATCTCCAGGTAATTTTCCAGAGTAACTTCTTTAATGAAGTAAAATAAAAATGTACCTCCTTTAAATAAAGTATAGTGGCAGGGGAAAGAAAGGGAATTAATTTATCTACATTCAACACTGCCAACAAAGGCTTCTCTTAGACTTGCCTCATCATAACCTGTCAACCACAGGCGAGGTGTCTGGTAGTACTTGTCATAGGTGATGTGCAAGTCATATGTGCGGGTTTGGAGGACCTCACCCCCGTCGCTGGTGCTGTTCCCCAAGCTAGACACTGCAGGAACGGTCCTGGGGGTCTGGATTGAACTCTGGAGAGAGAGAGCAAAAGAGAGATTGAAGGGGGAAGGAGTAATGGTGAGTGGTATGGGAAGGAAAGAATGAAGAAAAAGGGGAAGGAGAAAAGGAAGGAGGGAGGGAGGGAGGGAGGGAGGGAGGGAGGGAGAGAGAGAAAGAGAAAGAGAGAGAGAGAGAGAGAGAGAGAGAGGGAGGGAGGGAGGGAGGGAGGGAGGGAGAGAGAGAGAGAGAGAGAGAGAGAGAGAGAGAGAGAGAGAGAGAGAGAGAGAGAGAGAGAGAGAGAGAGAGAGGGAGAGAGGGAGAGAGGGAGAGAGGGAGAGAGGGAGAGAGGGAGAGAGGGAGGGAGGGAGGGAGGGAGAGAGGGAGGGAGGGAGGGAGGGAGGGAGGGAGGGAGGGAGGGAGGGAGGGAGGGAGGGAGAGAGAGAGAGAGAGAGAGAGAGAGAGAGAGAGAGAGAGAGAGAGAGAGAGAGAGAGAGAGAGAGAGAGAGAGAGAGAGAGAGAGAGAGAGAGAGAGAGACAGAGAGAGACAGAGAGAGAGAGAGAGAGAGAGAGAGAGAGAGAGAGAGAGAGAGAGAGAGAGAGAGAGACAGAGAGAGACAGAGAGAGACAGAGAGAGAGCAGAGAGAGAGAGAGAGAGAGAGAGAGAGAGAGAGAGAGAGAGAGAGAGAGAGAGAGAGAGAGAGAGAGAGAGAGAGAGAGAGAGAGAGAGAGAGAGAGAGAGAGAGAGAGAGAGAGAGAGAGGGAGAGAGAGAGAGAGAGGGAGAGGGAGAGGGAGAGAGGGAGAGAGGGAGAGAGGGAGGAGAGAGAGAGAGAGAGAGAGAGAGAGAGAGAGAGAGAGAGAGAGAGAGAGAGAGAGAGAGAGAGAGAGAGAGAGAGAGAGAGAGAGAGAGAAATATCAAAAAAGAAAAAAGAGAGAAAGAAAAACAGAGAGGGAAAAAGAAGATAGAAAGGGAGACAGAAAGAACATGAAAGAGAAAAGAAGACAAAGAGGGACAGAAAAAGAAAAAGAGAAATTTTGTTATATCTTGCCCAAAAGCAGCTTTCCACTTATGAAATACTGATTATTTCCAATGCAAAATGTTAATAATTCAGAAAAATATACAACCTACACAAATATTGCCACAAACAACACCAATTCAACAAAGCTTTAAAGCAAATTAACGACATACAGGATCCTCTTGCTCCAGCATGCCTGACTCCTCAAAAGCCTCCATATCTGCAGCTTCCTCATCCTCATCGTCATCTTCATCATCATCATCATCCGTGCAAGATGCCTTCTGCAAAGGGGAGGAAGATTACTATTACATATTACATACTTTTCATCATCATCATCGTCTGTGCAAGATGCCTTCTGCAATGGGGAGGAAGATTTCTTTATCTCATTAATAATAAAATCACTGCAGCAAGAGAATCTGAAAATTCTACTTTTTTTAAACGATATCAATTTCTTTGTGACACTATTTCTATTCCTTATCATATAAAAAAGACTGAGAAGGAGTGACACAGATAGGTGGAAGAGGATGACAAGGAATTCTCTTTCTTTCCTTCCTTTATTTTACATTCAAAACGGGGAAGAAACATATATAAAGCTATACAAACAATCTGAGAAACACACGCACCACAGACTGAGATGCGAAGATAGAAAGATACACACATATACAAAAACTTACTATCCTTCTTCACTTACCTTATCTTCAAGTGCCATGTCAGCCACTTTCTCCTCCAAGATGGCTGAGTCACTGAAATGGTGTGTGTCCACCCAGCCACCGTCGGGATCACCCTCCGATTCCAGGACCAGCTCCTGCTCACTGCGATACTCCATCTGGGCGGATGATGAAATGCTGATTAGTCTGCTCCCTCCTTCACTTGCTCTCTTTGTTATGACCTTAAACTTATATGAGTATACATGTAGAGACACATACACACAGACACAGACACACACACACATTGTTTTCATTAGAAACACACACCATTTTATTTTCATTAGAAATGATTCTCCAGGTCCAATTTCTACTAAATCTCTTAAGGTTTCGTAAAAACTTTTACATAAGAGATATCATGAATATCATATAATATATGCAGAACAACTAAGTGATGACTTGCAAGTGACTTTGAAAAGGAGTGTGTGGATCCTCCTAATGTTTACCAAGATTTACCGTTCATGCAATTTCATACTTTTAAATCAATTAAATACAATCATTTTGTTGTTTGTATCCCTGTAACTTCTATATAAAAAGCAAATTAGTTTTAGTTTATGCTGCATAATAATGAAATGCACAAGAAAATAGAAGTGTTTGAAGTTTTTGCTCCATTTACAAGTGCTTGTAGTGGTTCTAAAATCAGTATAAAAGTAACTGACCTCATAAAAAATACCTATACCTATAAATAACAGGAGGATAGTAGGATATGTGGGACTGAAAGAGGAACATTGCATGTGGAGCACAGAGGTGGGGTTGGAGTGTGGCATATGGTATGAATGTGTGAGTCGGGTGTGACCTATTCATAAATAGGCAAAGGCAGTTTCCCAGGGCGAAACAGTATAGACGAAAGTTTTGAAGTGGAGGGAGTAGTCGGTGGCTGGAATGTGTGAAAAGTGGGGTTGGTGAGTTGTGGGCTGGGCCATAGCCGGAAGGCCCGGGTGAAGCCAGAACATCGCAAATCACAATAGTAGTAGGTGAGTTGTGTACTCGGCAACATATCCTGCCAAGGCATCTGCTTATTCATTGCCTGGTATCCCAATATGCCTGGGTATCCAGCAAAACTTGACTGCTTTCTTTTGTACTACAAGGTTGACAGGATGTATGGATTGTATAAGTGATATTGAGTTGCATGAGACAGTGAAGAGGATAGTATCTAGTTCTATTTTAAGGATCCTCGATTCAGGAGTAAAGTTGTGTGTGAAAAGGAAAGGCTATGGCAAAACCAGTACCTGAGGTGGATTTGAAGCCAGTATAAACATGTGCACTGGAGGAATGACTACAGATATGTGCAAGAAAATGTATGAAGAGGATAGAAGGTGGGATGTTTGATTTGGGTGGATCAGGGAAAGCAGAAGAGCAATTACAGGAAGGTATCAGCCACAGCGGAAATATTGGGCAGAAGTAAGAAAGGATCAGAGAAGAGGATTGGGTGAATGTTAAAACAAAGAGGAGAGGAGGAGAAGGTATGAAGATGGGATTGAGGAACAATTAGCTTGGGGAGCGACAAAAATGGCTTGATCATCTATGTACAATAATGACCAGATTCCTAGTGATAGAGCTGAAACTAATATGTTTACAGTAATGAAAAATAATGTGTTGCTGAGCACACTGCCTTGTGGGACACAAGGCAGTGTACTCAACACATTATACAATTGCTTCAAGACCATGAACAGGAAATGTGTAATTTTTTTCCCTATTAAATGCACACAGCCTACAAGGATTCTACTGATTAATATAACATATAAAACACAACCTTACCTATAACCTTATATAATACAACATTATATCGTCACCTTCATAAAATAATTGTCTAAGTCATTTCTTCAACATTTTGGGAAATCGAAAAAAACTTTCTCATTTTCTTAATTTTGATATCAGTGCAGTGTTTATCATTTTAAAACTTCTTGATAGATGTACAACAAATTATTTAAGCAAGAATATCAATAGGTGCACCACATCAAGAAGAACTGACTTAGGCAAAAATCAAGAAATCGCCAAAAAATGACTTAGGCAGTTATTTTATGAAGGTGACGATATATAACCTTAAAAGACTGGATTCAGAGCTTACCTGTTTGCACCTCCTGTAACAAGGGACATTCTTGGTGATGAGGAACTGCTTCTCTGGAGGAAGGTATGGTTTGGTCTTGGCAGAATCGCCTGGAGCCCATCGCCACGTGGGACAGTGATGAACCAAGTGATCTCCTGCGGCCACAAATTCCTCTGGGGTAAGGACTCCTGTCTCTTTGAACTTGGACTCCTGTATGGATTAAGAGGATATTGAAGTGATCTTTAGTAAATAAATACATCTATATTTAGGGCAAAAAAATAGGGAGATCATCCTTTTTCTTTTTTCTTTTTTTCTTTCTAATTTGGGTACATTTTTGCATAAATTTCTAAGGAGCACAGAAGCTTGAATATGAAGACAATACAAAGCAAGCCTCTGCTTATATATTTGGAGGATCACATTTATATTCCTCTTTCTTTAACTATATTAGCATGAACGACTGCTTTACTTGGCAAATGTCTGCTTACTGACACCAAATTATTATGCAATGTCCTTAAAGAACACATAAATTATCACTATTATAAGATGAGTAAAGGCAATATCACAATGGTTATCAAACTGCATGGATAAAAGCTTACCCACCCCTTGTGTCTATGTCTTTCCTCTCATATTTTTTTTTTTTCTGGCACACAAAGATTCAAATCCATTGCTTTTTGTATTGGATGAATTTTGGATAAGGAAGTGACATGGAAGGATTGCAGTACAGTAAGGAACAATTTGCCTTAGATTTACTGTAGCAAATAGGTACACATACAAAATTACCAATGTATGTATTCTGAAGTGGAGCATCTAATATGCGAGACATTTGTATTCTCAGCTTACACTCTAATTGGGTTGCCTGCTGCATGTGCCTCCTGTGTGGATCCCCAAGGGCCACTCACTGCAATAGCTTCCACCCAGAAATTAGGGGTTTTTCACTTGAAAGTACCCATTGTGGATGGGATTAAAGACAAATGACTCTTCATTATCCCATTTCTTTTATGATTAAAAATACGAATCTTTCTTTACAGTCAGAAACCCAAATATTAGCTCGGGTTCTTAACCCTTCAATGACGGCATCAGAAATCTTTCAGTGTCACAGACTCTGGTGACTTCTGGTAACCGTCCTGCCATCTGGCCTGGGACCCTGCTACATGTATCAGAACTTTTCACTTGACTTGTTTTAGCACATTGTGATGCCTATTGTCATACAGGTTAACTTACAATAATAGACTTAAAACCTCTTTTCAGTCTCATGGTTGCTACTTCCCAGTTTGGGGATAACATTGCCATTTAAGATACATGCCTGCTACTTGTCTACACTTGGCTGTCATCTTTAACAGCACTCCATTAATGGTGTACGAACCTCCTCTATATATTCTGGATAGATAAAGCTTACATACCTCTCTGAAAATGTACTGTCAAAGAAATCGGTCAAAGTTCAATCTAGCCAGAATATATGTGGTGGTTTGCTGGCCTGTCCTGGTGCAGTAACAAGAACAGAGGCTTTGGCAGTCACTTGACAATATGGACTTCCTCATTGCATGCGGAATGCATGATTTTTACTACATTCTAGGTGCACTAAACAGTTCCATTTTAATTTGTATTATATACTGTCAAAAAGTCTTCCAAAATTTATTGAAAACATTATTTCATCATATTTTTCATTAGAAAGTCATCTACATATGGGAAGCATATTAAACAATACTACTGTGCAACATCACAACCGTAACTTTAGTATAACGAGCCTGAACTTTCCCCAATATAGTGGTTTGAGCAGTCTGCCACAGATCACAATATTCCTGTGGCTTTGGATAGTACATAACCATGATATATATGAAAAGGTCCTGTTTAGAAAGTCACTGCAAGTTGATTTGCACAATTCATCTAGTTTCCTACTAAGAAAACATATACTGTATCAGTAAATGAGGTTGTGTCAATAAAACATATATTTTGAAAATGAATACTACTTTGAGTATGTGACACTCAAAGTAACTGTGATTATCAACATAGGTTACAGTGTTACAACTGTTACTATCACTTTTGCACATGGCATAATTCCAATAATATGAGATAATGGTGAGATTTCTTTTACACATAATTCACAAGGTTTTAACAAAAAATTGTATCTGATTCTAATCTCCTCTCATATCTTCTAAATAACTAAAAAGAAAGGCCTCACATTTACACCCAATATCCCAGTATTAGCAATGTACCATCTCCCTGGCTAATCACGTCCGATAAATCAACAGGCTACACATTACTCAACATTAGCATTACATTCAGAAGGAAAAAAAATTAACATGAATGGTTAACTAAAAGAAGAAGTTCAGTTTTTATACATTTATTTCATCTTTCATTCGTGAGTCACAGTCAGGCACTCACGCCACCGCTCTCCCTCCTCTCTCACCTTGAGAATGGGCGTAAGATACTCGGCGACCCCTAAGGCTTTCCCCTTGACGGTATTGATCACGTTCTGCATGTTGTCAACGCTCGGGAGTAGGAATTGCCGCTCTTATGGGAATTATTTGTCGAGAGAGTTAAAGGCTTCGCCTCCTCTTCGTCTCGGCAACAACACTGACAGCTGACATTTAAAGGGAGGGTGTGTATAAGGTTATTAGTCGCTTGGTTTATTTGGCTGTCTAAGTAGTTTCTATTGACATTTTACTAGGCCTAGGGTATTGTTTATTTTACTAGGTCTAGGGTATTGTTTCAGTTTGAGTTACTTTTCTTGTGCGGGAGGTATATGTTGTAATGAGTCATACACTAATTTTTTTATATGAACGCTCCTTGTATAGTTCGAAACTAAATATTTTATCTCCTCAATAGTAATATTTTTTATATTATAGACTAAAATGATAGTCAGAGTTGAAACAAAAAGTTTTGGAAATAAGATGAGGGAATATAGATAATCAAAAGTAACTGAACAGACCGCAGTGTTCAAAGAGAGGAAGCCTAAGTCACAATCGCCGCAAACGAACAAGTGACATAAAGGAGTTGCAATGGCAGGTAAACAAAGCAGAAAAAATCCCAAATTTACCATAGAAGACGCTTTTGAGGAGGATGCTGACGATGCCATCCGACTCTACGGTGCCACGAACGAGCGCTCGCCCTTCAAACCCAAAGATCGGGACGGAATAATGGGCGTGGATGATGTTTCCGTGAATATGGATGACAGTGTTCTTGGAAGCAAAGGCTTTCTCACGGTGCCTGATGTGGATGTAAGTATCTGTGTGGATGAGTTTCCTCCGTGCGTTTCTTTTCCTTCCTCGTTTTCTCACTGTCTTTCTCTTTCGTCCCTTCTTCCTATATTATTGTTATTTTTACTTGCTTTCTCCCTTTTTCTCAGTCTCTTTTTCATTCCTTTCTCTCTCATTTTCATGCTTGAACCTTAAACAAATACCCAGCTTTGACTCTTGATTAAATACAAATAACATAAGATTGCTTTTGTCATGTTGCAGATAAAGTTTGTAGGTCATAGACTTTTATTCTTTAACTAATGTAGATAATCTTACCCTCTTGTGGTTACTACTGTTGACATTGCTTTTTGACCTTGTTGCTGTAGTACTTCTGGAAAAAGATTTAATAGTTATCAGTTACAATTTGATTATCTTATTAGTACCTTTGTGCTTAATTGGCCCTCTGTGTGTGTCTGTCACTAATTTGTCGGTGTTACGAGAGGAAAGGTGATTGAACTCTTATCTTAGAATACTCTGAACTGTTTGTGAGTTCAGGTGTTTGTATATTCAGTGTTAACCCATTCGCCCCATGTGGCAAGAATACATGCCATGCCCACTGTAATACACGTTTATTTATTGTATTTACACATAGATGGTTCTACAAATTCTTAACCCAATGGTGCCGGGTGAAGAAAACAAAACAAAAAAACTCTACGCTCTGGCAAACAAAGGCGGCACACCGACTTTGAGCGCATGAGTAGGGTACATCAGCCCGAATCACTGGCTCACTGCGCTTTGGCACGCCACCGCGGCGTACAGCTGCACGCCAGCTTTCGAGCGATTTGTTTTCACGCCTATCAGCATCACCCGGCGTTAACCCCTTGCCGCCGGGTGACGGCGATACGCGTGTAAACAAATCGCTCGAAAGGTGGCGTGCGGCCAAACCAGCCGGCGGCGCGCCAAAGCGCGGCGAGCCAGTGATTCGGGCTGACGCCCCGTACTCCGGCGCTCAAAGTCGGCGCGCTGCCTTTGTTTGCCAGAGCGTAGAGTTTTATTTTCCTTTAGTACACCCGGCGTCATTGGGTTAAGGAGTTAATCACCAAATAGTCAGTTTATCAAAACTACCTATCTCACCTGTTTACCCTTTTCCTTCACTTCAGGAAAGGGTCTTTTGTATCATTTCATTGTCTAAAATATTTTAATGACAATTTAATAATCATAACATCATAACATTGATAGCTATGGTATTGATAAGAAAAAGACATTTTCCCACAAATTCAAGGAATGGGAAAATTTGGATTGGTGACTAGGGCCTACTGATAGACTCCTTGGTGGCTGAGCACATGTAGAGCCATCTATATGTAACAAAATTCACCAGAAACTACAGGGGACAGAACATAAATCTGGGGTGAATGGGTTAAGTGATAATTAAGTATTTTTCTAGGAAATCCGTTGAATTTGTAATTGATGGATTCCTCATAATGTCTAGTAAGTATTTATAAGTGTTTTAGTCAGCATATGGCAGTAATAGTGATGACATAATAGACATAATAAGTGGGAGGGTATAAGGTATCCTATGCAGCCTTACCATATGATGAACCTCATGAGTGATGTCACAACTCGATGACTTGCTCACTCAGTCCCGAGGCTATGGTACTTTCAGTCATTCATGATATCCTTATCTATTAATTCTGCTGACTATTACTGTTGCTTTTGGTCAGCAACTATCTGTAAGAATCTAGTAATAGCAAATTTTATGGGTTTTAAGATGGAGATGTAGAACTGTCTCAAGGCCTATACTACCAAAACATAACATAGCAGAAGCTTGTTGGCCTTTGCACATATGCCATGTCTATTGCCCATGGCATCTCACCATTTCATAAATTAAACAACTTTTAAAATATAAATTTGCAACAACTTATAAGAGGAAACTGATGATGATTGGTCTATTAATTCCATGTACTGCTACACTGAAGTATATGTATATATGTCCTGTGTAATAATTTTACTGAGATCAGGCTTTATTGAAAGAATAAAGCAGAGGTCATGTTCTATTAACCCAGTGCCTCTAGAGGAAGTGTAGTTCATATCATGGCTGACTTGGTCATGTCTTTAGATGATGTGCTATTCCCTTCATAGAGGACAGGTCAGTCACATTGTATTACTGTAATGCATGAATTACATTTTATGCTGTTCTTTATATGATACCCACATGCCCACATGTCTAATTCCTAGAGCATTGCCTGAGGCAGAACATGAACTGTAATGTTCTGGTTGGCAGTTGTGGGGGCAATAGTAAGTACATTGATAATTTGCCTGTTATCCCTGGAAGATGGCACTCTCCAAAAAAATTGTACTGTCTTACTGCTGCTGCAAACCTGTCAGTAACCTTCACTCTAGTTTACATGATCAGAATCCTTGTGTCAACTGCTCAGATTGTCATAGCCACATTGGTACTGTGCCATATCTCGAAGTATGACACACAAAAGGGAATTACTGAAGTCAATGGAGTAGCAACCGTGTATATAACTGCATACAATCTATTATTTTATAAGAATGATACTTGCAAATGAAAGAAAATCCTTTTTATCCCCGGAGGTAGGCTCAGTTGGCTGTGCATAGCTACTTTCTGGAGTGGAGGCTAAGTGCACCCCCAATTCTTCAAGAGGCATTGGGTTAAGATAGAGCTAGGACTGAATACCTTAAGCTTCTGATGAGCCAGGCTAAGGATTGTAAAAGTCGGATCCAATTTTCAGGGAGTCTATCAAAGTGCTTCAACAAACGATTGTTTACTGCTGTAAATGAACTGTTATGTGTCCATAGGGGCCACAAAATTTTCACACAGGCCAATTATGTGGCTCTGTGTCTGGTTAGTCAGCAGTACACTCTCTTTGTGGATGTTTAATTTGATAAAATGTTATCACATTATGGTGTTCAAGTTTAGTGAATAAGCTGGGAAGTTTATTTTGTTTTTATGATACAGAAGACATGTATTTAATGAATTGGTAGATTTTAGATTACTATTTCATTGTTTTAGCTTGAGTACAATGCATAAAAAATATATTTTTAGTCTACAAAGTTGAAAATTTTCAGGCAATTTCACGTGACAGTGATTCTCTCATACCGGGTGATGCAAGCAGCTTCTCAGAATCTCCAAGATGGTGGTTCCTCCACCCTAAGGTTCGGGAAAAGTGGACTCTTGTGGCTGGAGCCTTCACTCTTCTCATCTTGGGACTAAGTGAGTTATGTCTGTAGCACTGCTTTTATTTCATTATTTTTATTTCGTTCTGCTGACTGACTAATTGATTTTTAAGTTTATCCTCATTTTCATTAATACTATGAAAAACTAGGTCTGATTTTTTTTTTTTTTTTCCTTTCTTTCTTTTTGTGGAATTTATATGCATATTGTTTCTCAGCAGATTTTATAATGCTCATGTAAAGTGGAAACATGTAAAGTATAAACCTGATTGCTAATGAACATAAAGCTTAACGAAGATGTTCATTTTCTACTTGCCCAATATTTTTACTGAATATAAAAAAATAGAATGAAGCATTCTACAAAAATTGATCAGGATTAAGCCATCATTAACTTTTACATTTAGTGCTGTTTTAACTTTGTATATGTAAAGAGAGCTAAGCAAAAATAATAAAACACAAATACATTAGGTAGTGAATACAAAATCCATGCTGATTTGAGTCAGACTGATTTCTCTTTTTCAAAACTGTAACCACCCCATTCGCTTCCAGCCCTCCTTGTGACCGGCGTTGTTGTTCAAGTCATACCCATTGAAGGAGTCTCAGGTATTGTATTCATCATTACCGGCCTTATATGCTTCATTCCCGGGGCGTACCACATCGTCTACGTCATCTTTGCTGTTTCGGGTAGGCGTGGCTATGACTTCTACAATCTTCCGCTATTCAACTGATACATTCTCCGGGAAGAGTTCTAAGGTTAACCAAAAATGGAAAGGAAATGTAATAATGTGCATGCAGTGATTATATAAGCGAATTCTTGTATTAGTTCGGTTTTGTATTAGTTCAAAAAGTCACAGGGAGATCAGATTGTCTGAGATAATTATATACATATAATCACCACATAATCTCTCTTTTTTGTTTGTAAATCTCAGAAAAATGTGTTTTTTGCCCAAAGTGAATCTCAGTATTTAGACGAATCACTTCTTGGTGATAGTATCCCAGTAACCAACTATTACTTAATCTCAGTGAAATATTTTCCTCAAAACCTTTGTGCCAATGACATGGATTCAAGGAAAATTTTTGGAGAATGACTTAATAGGCGTTGTAATGAAAAGGGCATTTTATATAGGCAGAAATACCATATAGAAAGATAAAATGTTTGTAACTGTATATAACCATGTTTCTGTACTTTTGTAGTTTCTGTATCAT